CACTGGGGACACTGGGGGTGGTCCGAGGGGTTTCAGGGGTGGTTTTGAGGTGGTTCTGGACGTTTAAGGGATTTTTGGGTTTCAGGATGGTTTGGGGTTGTTTTGGGGTGGTTTGGGGTTGTTTGGGATGGTTTCAGGGTGGTTTTGGGGTTATTTGGGGGTGGTTTTGGGTGATTTTGGGGTGTTTTTGGGTTATTTTGGGATGGTTTTGGGATGATTTTGGGGTGGTTTTGGGGTGGTTTTGGGGTTATTTTGGGGTGGTTTGGGGTGGTTTGGTATGGTTTTGAGGTGGTTTCAGGGTGTTTTGGGGTTATTTCAGGGTGTTTTTTGGTTAGTTTTGGGGTGGTTTTGGGTTAGTTTGGGGTGTTTCTGGGTTAGTTTGGGGTGTTTCTGGGTTAGTTTTGGGGTGTTTTTGGGTGTTTCTGGGTTAGTTCGGGGTGTTTCTGGGTTAGTTTTGGGGTGGTTTTGGGTGTTTCTGGGTTAGCCGCGGTGCTGACCGTTGACGGTGCCGTCCTGCCCCCAGACCACGCGGCCGTCGGGCAGCGCGCGCTGCGAGCGCGGCAGGCGCAGCGCGATGGAGAATGTGGCCTGGGCGCCCGCCAGCGTGGGCGCGTCGCTGCTCAGCTCCAGGGTGACATCGCCGCCTGCCAGGGACAACGGCGGGTCGGGGACACGGCCAGACCCCCCCGGGGACACGGCCAGCCCAGGGGGGTGGCATGGCCGGTCTGGGTGGGTGACATGGTCAGAGCCCTCTGGTGACATGGCCAGCCCGAGTGGGTGACAGGGCTGGTCTGGGGGGTGACATGGTCAGCCCAGGTGGGTGACACGGCCATCCCGGGTGGGTGACACAGTCAGCCATGGCTGGTGACACGGCCAGACCCCTCTGGTGACATGGCCAGCCCAGATGGGTGACATGGCCAGCCCAGGTAGGTGACACGGCCATCCCGGGTGGGTGACACAGTCAGCCATGGCTGGTGACACGGCCAGACCCCTCTGGTGACATGGCCAGCCCAGGTAGGTGACACAGCTGGTCCAGGTAGGTGACATGGTCACCCCAGGTGGGTGACACGGCCAGTCCGGGTTGGTGACACGGCCACCCTGGGCTGGTGACACAGCATGGCCAGCCCAGGTGGGTGACACGGCCAGTTGGGGTCGGTGTCATGGCCAGCCTGGGTGGGTGACACAGCCAGACCCCTCTGGTGACGTGGCCAGCTTGGATGGGTGACACGGCTGGTCCAGGCGGGCGACACAGCCGGTCCAAGGGGGTGACACGGCCACCCCGGGCGGGTGACGCGGCGCGGGTGGCACTCACCTCGCCAGCAGTCGCGGCTGCCCTGCTGCCAGGGCGGGTACAGCGCCGTGTCCCACGTCCCGAACGGCGCCGGGCGCCCGCTCCACGCCGGGCCCCGCCCGCGGCTGCGACCCGCGGCCCCTGCGGGGACAGCGACAGCGCTGAGCCCGTGTCACCGTCCTCGGGGCTGCCGTGTCCCCCCATGTCCCCATTTTTGGGGTTGTCATGTCCCCCATGTCCCCATTTTCAGGGGTTTGTCATGTCCCCCTTGTCCCGCATTTTTGGGGCTGTCATGTCCCCCGTGCCCCCACTTTCGGGGCATGTCACGTCCCCAACATGTCCCTTATGCTCAGAGGTTGAAGGGTCCCACATGTCCCCAACATGTCCCCCACTTTCAGGGGTTTGTCATGTCCCCCTTGTCCCCCATTTTTGGGGCTGTCATGTCCCCCCATGTCCCCCATTTTCGAGGGTTTTTCATGTCCCCCGTGTCCCCATTTTTGGGGAGATGCTGGGTCCCACGTGTCCCCCATTTCCCCCACTCCCATGTCCCCATTGTCCCAAACTCTCGGGGGTCACTGAGGTCCCCAATGTCCCCCCCCGTGTCTCCCCACATCCCCCTCCCCCAGGGGCCCGCCACCCCCACCCCTGGAGCGCCCTCCCGACCGTGGGGACCCGGGGGGACCCTGGGGTGACCCGGGGGCCCAAAACCACCCCTGGGGACCCCAAAACCTCCTCCAGGGACCCCAAAACGACCCCAAAGGGGAATTATTGGGGTACACCCAGCTCCGTGAAGGATTTGTCTTTAAGGGGGGGGGCTCTGAACCCCGAAACCCCCACATGATGGGACCCGGGACGCCCCCTGCCCCCCAAAAAAATCCCCATTTATGCCACAAACCCAAACCCAAAATCCCCTTAAAAGGGAATTATCGGGGTACACCCAGCTCCGTGAAGGATTTGCCTTTAAGGCACCCCAAAAACCCTAAAGGATGAGACTCCGGACGCCCCCCACACCCCAAAAAATCCCCATTTATGCCACCAACCCTAACCCAAAACCACCCCCAAGAGGGGCAACCCAACTCCGTGAAGGATTTGCCTTCAAGGGGGGGGTCTGCACCCCAAAACCCCCACAGGATGAAGCTCCGGACGCCCCCCGCCCCCCAAAACCAGCCCCACTTACGAGGCTGAGCCTCGGCCAGGCTCAGGAGGGTCCCCAAAAGCGCGACGGCCCCGAGCCCCCGCATGGTCCCCGCTCGCGTCCCCCCCGCTCGGCACGGCCGGGGCAGAGGCGCCGGGCACGGCGACAGCCACACAAAAAGGGGGCGCTCATTTGCATAAACCCGCCCCCCAAAAAAGGGGGGGGCTCGGGGGCCGCCCCCTCCCCTCCCCTCCCCACGTGGGGTCACACGGTGCGGGGCCCCCCCCCAGGGATCCCGGGGGGTTTTGGGGGGACATTGGGACCCCCCCAGCGATGCCAGGGGGTTTTGGGGGGACATTGGGACCCCCCCAGCGATCCCAGGGGGTTTTGGGGGGACATTGGGACCCCCCCAGCGATCCCAGGGGGTTTTGGGGGGACATTGGGACCCCCCCAGCGATCCCAGGAGTTTTGGGGGGACGTGGGGTCCCCCCACAGCGATCCCAGGGGTTTTGGGGGGACATTGGGACCCCCACAGCGATCCCAGGGGGTTTTGGGGTGCGGCCCCCCCATCCCGGCACGCGGAGACCCCAGGAATTATTTTTTTGGATTTTTTTGGGGGTTTTTTGGGGTTATTCGGGGATTTTTTTGTTGTTTTGGTTTTTTTTGGGTTATTTGGGGATTTTTTGGGGGTTATTTGGGATTTTGGGGGTCGGCGGGTGACAGCCATGGGGGGAGCAAAATGGGGGGTGGTCCCCAATTCTGCGCACGGGGGGGCACCCCCGGTTTGGGACTCAAGGGGGTCCCCGAGCTCAGGGAGAGAGGGGGGACCCCCAGTGCGGCACCGAGGGGGACACGGGGGGACCCCGAACTTGGGGGGTCCACACAGGGGACCCCGATCCTGTGGGTGACACGGGGGGGACCCTGAGGGCACAGGGGGACCCCAATTCCTGTGAGTGACACGGGGGGGGACCCCGATGTGACAGGGGGACCCCGATCCTGGTGGGACACACGGGGGGGACCCTGATGACATGGGGGGACCCCGATTCCTGTGAGTGACACAGGGGGGGACCCCGAATCCGGTGGGTGACACGAGAGGACCCTGAGGACACAGGGGGACCCCGATGACACAGGGGGACCCCAACTCCTGTAGGTGACACAGGGGACCCCGATGACACGGGGGGCACCCCGATCCCGGTGGGTGACACGGGGGGGGACCCCAATCCCGGTAGGTGACATGGGGGGACCCTGAGGGCACAGGGGGACCCCGATCCCGGTGTGTGACACGGGGGGCACCCCCGATCCCGGTGTGTGACACGGGGCACCCCGATCTCTGCAGCCCCGGCCGTTTCCGTGCCCCGGGGCTGTCCCGGTACGCCCGTGGGGCCACGTGTGCGGCGAGCCCCGTGACCCCCGGGAGCCCCCGGGCTGCTCCCCGTGACCCCCGGGCTGCTCCCCGTGACCCCCGGGAGCCCCGTGAGCCCCGAGAGCCCCCGGGCTGCTCCCCGTGACCCCCGGGCTGCTCCCCGTGACCCCCGAGAGCCCCCGGGCTGCTCCCCGTGACCCCCGGGCCGCTCCCCGTGACCCCCGGGCTGCTCCCCGTGACCCCCGGGCCGCTCCCCGTGACCCCCGGGCCGCTCCCCGTGACCCCCGAGAGCCCCCGGGCCGCTCCCCGTGACCCCCGGGAGCCCCCGGGCTGCTCCCCGTGACCCCCGTGTGTCCGGCTGCGGTCCGGCCGCAGCCCGCGGGGCGGTCCCGGTCCCGACCCCCGTGTCCGGTCCCGGTCCCCAGCCCGGCCCCATCCCGGTCCCTGTCCTTGCTCTGATCCTGATCCTGATCCCCGGGCACGACCCCGGCCCCATCCTCATCCCAATGCCGATCCCAGTCCCGGTCCCGGTCTCACTCCTGGTCCCAATCCCAGTCCCGATCCCGATCCCAGTTCCGGTCCCTGTCTCAGTCCCCGGTCCCCGCTCCAATCCCCAGTCCTGGTCAATCCTGACCCCAATCCCGATCCCGGTTCCGGTCCCTGTTCCTGTTCCAATCCCTGATCCCGATCCCAATCCCAATCCCCGGTTCTGGTCCCAATCCCCGATCCAATCCTCAGTCCTGGTCCCGGTCCCGGTTCCTGTCCCCATTCCTATCCCCGGTCCCAGTCTCGGTCCTTGTCCCTATTCCAGTCCCAAATCTTGGCCCCTGATCCCAGTCCCCAGTCCCTGTCCCTGTTCCAATCCTCTGTCCCCAATGTCCCAATCCCAATCCCCTGTCCCCAATGTCCCTGTCCCTGTCCATGTCCCCAGTGTCCCTGTCCCAGTGTCCCAGTCCCTGTCCCCAGTGTCCCTGTCCCCAGTGTCCCTGTCCCAGTGTCCCAGTCCCTGTCCCATGTCCCTGTCCCAGTGTCCCAGTCCCGGTCCCCGCGGCCGTTCCCGGTAGTGTCACTATCCCTTTAAGGGATCTCCCGCGTCCCCCGTGACGTCACGCCGCGCCCAGCCAACGGGCGGCGGCGCGGGGGGCGTGGCCGGCGGGAAGGCGGG